ACCGTTACATAAAATATTATCTTATATACAATAAAATGTGAAGAAGTATTATAGAAAATATAAATATATACAATACAAATATGTACACTGCAAAATGACTGAGGGGTGCAATAGTTCATGGGATAGATAGATAGATAGATAGATAGATAGACAGATAGATAGATAGATAGATAGATAGATAGATAGATTGCATAAACACTGTGTGACACTGTGTGTTTGTTTTCACACACATGAGAATTCCCTTAATTCATATTTTTAAGTGAATAAAAAAAGTAAAATAAGAAAAAAATTTAAAAGATTTTTAGTTTTAAATCAAATTTGTAACATTTATTTTGAAGGGTGAGTTGCCTTGTTTCCGGATCCTCTTGTTTTCTCTCTAACTTGATGCAGCTGATCACAACCAGTGGTTTCCTCTCATTAACCACGCCTGCGGCCTTCAGAGCAGAAATATAATGAACATGTGAGGGGTTTGTAAAGATCATAAATATATAAAACAGATGAACCACAGAGTCTCACAGGAAACTCTGTCAACTTTCCCGTGAGATTTAAGGATATTAAAGGACTATTACAATGATTTATAGTTACACACACACACACACACACACACACACACACACACACACACACAGTTAAATTAACAAACCTTCCTTTCTCTGCAGAGACCAGCTGACGTCTGCAATCAGCTCAACCATATAATCAATCTGTCAGGAGCTCTGTGATTATGAAGGGGGAGAGCGAGGGGGGAGGGAGGGGGGAGAGAAAGTGTGAGAGGGAGGAAGACAGTACAGTACATGGTATCAGAGTTAATGTGGGAGCTTTACTTTCACCTCTTGACCATGTGACTTTTAGGTGAGCCACAGGTAACCTAACCTCCAGGGTCACGACCTGTCTCTGACCTTTAGGCCTCAGGTGTTTAATGATGGAGTCTGTGTTTGACAACAGGAGGAAGGGCATGATGGGAAAGCTTTCGATCACATCACGTGATCTTTACATTAAAAGATTCAGACAGAAACACGGAGCGCTGCAGCTGATTCAACTAATTATCACCTGGGAGGATATGATTTCACCTGTGTCACCTGACAGGCAGCATGGAGCAAGGACCAGGGAAGAACTCTTTCAATTTTTGGGATATTTACTCTGGATTTGAATGTTTTTCTCTGAAGTCTCGTGCATGTTGTTTGACATTGGCCTTCGATTCTTCTGCTTCATGATCGATCAGTTAATTATCTTTTCCATAAAATATAAGAAAACAGTGAAAAAAAGCCTCATCTTATTTCCAAAAGCCCAAATCAACATCTTCAGGTGTCTTGTTTTATTCTGAAAACCAAAGATATTCAGTTTTATTATCACATGCAACAAAGAAATGCATCAAATCTACATATTATATTGATATATTTGACATTTATTCATAAAAGAAAAAACTAAAACATGAATGTTGCCAAATAATTTTCTGGTAATCGACTCATTGTTGCAGCTCTACAAAGATCATCATCTCAAAGTGTGTGTGCATCACACTCGGCCCATAATAGTGTCTTTTATTTGCATCACCATGAACGTTTTAAAACTGACCTTCATATAAAACGGCCTGGTGTTGTAAACCTACACACAGTAAGTCATTGTTCTAACGGTCCTGATAAAACTCTGATCCATTCCAGCTGCACACAGCTGGACAGATATCTGCCTCCTTGAGCCACATCAGCAGCCTCCTCCTCCTCCTCACCACAGCCTCTGTTATCTCTGCAGAGAGCCGGTTACACTCACTCTGTTATCTCATTACCACCCACACACACACACACACACACACACACACACACACACACACACTGAGCTCAGAGGGAATTAAACATCACAGCAGCAGAGCGCCTCTTTCTTCCCGCTCAGACACTGAAACAGAGGAAGAACAGACCTGTGGCGTGTTAACAGACGGATCATCAGCTCCATGATTATTGGAGCAGCTGCTAATATCTCTGTCACTCTAATCTGGTTCTGTGGTTCATGCATTTGCATATTCAGCTTTTCTCCGAGCTGAAACATCGGAGCTGCAGAAACTGATGACGTGCTCGTAACAAAATGATGCAAAACCCCTGTCACTGCTGGTGAGAGTCACTTTCCACAGTAAAATGAACTAAGTTCTGCACGTACACATCAGTCTGAGGTGTTTGGAATATTTTCATTTTATTTTGAATTTATTTCAAGAGCAAAATCCAAATCGCAGAAGCTGTTATAATTTCAATTTCAATTATTAATGATTATTAATTATTATAACTTCTCCAGTGCTACATACAGTAAACATAAACACAATCTGTATACATTAATAAAAGCAGAATGAGTCCTCAGTACTATTGCACAGATAATATGGCACATGATCAGGTCAGTGTTGTCCTTATTAGCCTGATATTCAGAAGTCGAGTTCTCTGATGGCACTTGGATAAAAACCCGTCAGGAATCTGAAAGTGCGAGTTCTTGAGGACCCGTGTCTCCCCGCGGAGGGCAGCGGGGTGAGAAGGCGGTGACCCTGGGTGAGATGAGACTCTGATGATGAGACAGCAGGTTCTGTAAATGTCCTCTGGTGAGGGATAAATGAAGCAATGAGGAAAATCATGTTCTCCAGACATTTATTTTAATTTACAGAATAAATACCAACATGCTGCCAAACTTTGTTCTGAAATATTATAATAACACAGATTCCATTACATCAAAGCTTCACAACATATAATCTGTGTTGCATCATAAAGTCTCATTGTTTGTTTCTCCTCATCCCAGAATGTGGTCTCGTGTATTCAAGTGGTCAAATGTCATTTTAAACCACAGACAAGTGCAGCCTGTCGTTACCATTAAAGCTGCATTAATGTTCAGAAAATAATGGATATTTTCAGATGTTTTCAGTTCTGATTGTTGTTAGTGTCACTACACTGTGCTTTTATTTTGGTGATGTAAAATTGCAACTTCCTCTCTAATTAAACTGCATCTTTTTAAACTGTGATTGCAGACAAACTGTATAAGAGTTTATACCATTCGTCAGCCATATTAATCAAAATAAAAGCACTTAGTCTTATTGGGTTATTGTAAAACTTGACGTGTTTACTTACAGATTTCCATAATTTTACACTTTTATAACAGATAACAGATTAATATTATAATATTAATAACAGATTATTATTCTGTGTCTTGCTACCATCCTTTAAACTGACCTTTGAGTCACATTTCTCAGATGTTAGTAACAGTTTCCCCCCAATAATGTGCAAGTACACAGGTCAAGGTAGAGGTGGTACAGGTGTGTGTGCGCCTGCAGGTGTGATTACAGGAACATTCCTGAGCAGCCAAAGATTCCTGCGGATCCTGCAGAGTTTTGTATTGTGTGTGTTATCCTGTCTGTCTGGTGCGTTTTCAGCTAGATTTCCAATTCTTTAGAAATAATCAATAGTTTATCCTTAAATACTTGTGACATGTATGTGGTTGAGACAAAATCAATATTTCTCAGCCCATGACAGACAGGCTTTTTAATTAAATCTGACTGTGGCTGAATCTGAGGCCGAATCCTCGAGTCCATTCAGACGATAAAAGCCTCAGTTCCTGCCAATAATAAATGCGGCTGCAGGGTGTTGTTGTGCTGCTACTCTCTTCTGTACCAGAGGGAGGGCAGTGCACAAGATTTACTGACTGAAGTCATGAGCTAATAAAATTCCCTGGATGGTAGTTTGCTCCTGCAAAACACCAAAATGATGCTTCTGGTGCAGATTAATGAGACTCATTTGAAAAGAGAAGGGCTCTTTAGCTGACATGCTGAAGATTTTAATGATTTATCAGTGCAATATTCAGCTCACTTATCTCCCCATTAAAATGCACCTGCAGAGACTGAAATCCCTCTGGCTGTTCCAGGATTTCAGAGGAAGAGTTTACTGTAAAATGCTGTGTGGTGACCACAAATCAGATTAATCCAGTAGCATCAGGAAAAAAGAACACCTGACAGAGTTTTCTCAGCCTCAGCACATGATTGTGAGCAGAGGGTTTGGATCTAGAAGTAAGAAAAACACAAAACCTTTACACCAGGTTAAAAGGTATTTTCCTCATGTGTCACAGTTGTGTGTACATACTTCAACCGCTGGAGGTCAGCAAAAACAAGTTTTCTGCTGATGTTCAGTTACTTTTTGAGATTTAATCAAGAATTGATTATTTATATGTGCTGCCAGATGGAGCCTTGGGCTGGACATGCTCTTTACATTACATTTGTATGTAAACACACCCACAAATATCATGGTAAACAGTTGCATTTGCATTACTCAAACTAAAATCAAGAAATCAATAAAGATTTTTTTATATTTATGTTTTCTAGTAACTGTTAGATTATCTGAGAAGGGTGGGAACTGTTCAAGTGCAACAAAGTGTACAACAACATATAATATATAGTACATAAGAATATTAAGAGTGTGCAGTTATGTGAACTATCAGGGAGAAAGGCCACACAGATCATAAAAGACAAAAATACATTTTAAACACGCAGGTGGTGTATGATTAAACACTTTCACTGTTTGTATTGTAAGCAATAATGTAGATATAGTTTTTCATTTCATAAATTAAAGCAGGAAATAGCAGGATTTATATTTATGAATATTTAATTTGGCCATAATTCTGATAATATGGATCAAGCACTATTTGTCCTTATCATTCCTTTTGTGGTCAAAGAACCAAACGACTCATTTAAGTGAAAAACAGGATAAATTCTGGATACTTTTTTTTCCCAATAATTAATAATGAAGAATATATTTTAGGACGATTAATAAATCACAAGCGATATATATTGTGTTTAAATATATCAAGATAAAAACGAGAGTGTTTAAGTCTGTGGATTAATTCAAAGGAAATGTCTTATTTATGTCTGATGGTGAATTTTGAGATAGTAAACATTCCCCACTCTCGTCCGTTGTCCAGGCGGGGCGGTACTCATCTTGACCGTACAGAGTAACTTTGATGAAAGGCGGTCTCGCGAGAACTAACGACGTCACGGGATAATGGCTGGAGATCGCGGATATTAGAAGGTACTTTACTGCTTTTATTTACTTTGCTCTGGATCAAATTAGTGCATTTATTTAAGCAAATAGGGATAATTAATGACGTGTTTGCACGACTCGTAACTGAAATAAGCGTTTCTGGCATTTTGTGCCAACTTACGTCGACACCGCCGGTACAAACCGACAAACCTTCGAAATAAGAGCTCAATGTTTTCCGCGCTTTTTACCACTATGAAAACAGTTAGCTTCAGCCGCACAAACTATCCTCTCTCGTTAGACACTGAATTACTGTAACCGCCTCTGTGATGGCTTGTACGGTACACAGAGTGTTCATAAATCTGTGCGAAGCGACTAACAACCACCAGAAGTCATTTTGACCTATCTACGACACTGCTGTTAGCATTAGCCGGAGCTGAAGGCCTGCTCAGGAAGCAGGCGGGAGCTTTTATTTTCCAAAACCGCTTCTTCATCTCACCTGTCAACGCTGCTTATTCAGAGAATTATATCTGTTGAAAAATGGTTATTTAGATGGTAAATCGTTATCTAGGCTGTTAACATGCCCCGTGGATTGTCCGTCTACACGTTCCCATACTCTCTTCTTCATTCTTAACTATGCCAACAGAGAAATCTACAATCTAAGAGGAGGTGAAGCTGTATCTCAACTTCTCAGCATCACTGATACACTACTGAAAGTAAGTTTTTTTCAATTATTATTATTTTATTACATGGACTTAAAATTCCAGCATTTTTCCCCTGAGCTTTGACGCCATTTTTCATAATATTTAAATTTAATTGAAATATTTTGTCTCTATTTTCTAGCTCTGACATTGGATTTGCGCCAGGTGAGTGAGTAATGTAAACAAACTGTTAGGCTTTATTTAATGTGCAGGTGCTTTAAATGTAGTCAGTTTAATTCAAGGCCTGAACAGATTAAATACTCACTTCAGGATTTCATTGATGGTTTTGAGTGTCGACCAAACCAACGATGAAAAAAAACAAGTATTGTTTATGTATTCAAAGCAGAAACGCAACAATTAATCAATTAGTCAATGGACAGAAAATTAATCTGCAATTATTTTGATGATCAATTTATCGTTTTAATAGTTTTTCAATTAAAATTTACACACATTTGCTTTTTAAATTTTCTTAAATTTGACAATTTGCTGTTTTTCTTCATCATAACTGAATCTAAACAATATTTTATTGTTTTGGTTTATTTGTTGACTAAAATAAGTCATCTGAATATATTATCTAAGCCTTTGGGAAATTATAACCAGTACCTTTTATTTATTTATTTATTTTTATTTCTTGACAGTTTATAAACAAACCAATTCACTGAGAAAATAATTGGCAGAATAATTAGTAATGAAAATAATTGTTTGATCTGAAAACTGTTAAAAAACACATCAAGGAGACACACTGTTGCAGCAAAATGTGGATTAATCCACCACTGAAAATAGTCCCCAACAAAAGCAGTATTTCCTCTCATTTGAGTAACATTTGTCTAAAAATATCTGAAATTAGGAAATAATTAAGACTCATATTTAAGTAATTAGACCATATATAAATGTGAGACATTTTTTGGGGCTGAGAGCTGCAGACACAGTATGGAAACCAGAAAGTGTTGAGAGACAAACTAGTTTTAGCATTTTCATGGGATTTGTTGACAATAGGCAAAATGAATAATGCTTTCCTTCTTTTGAACAATGCAAGTGTGACGTGCAACGTTTAAAGATTAAATTAATAATTCTCAGTATCTGCAGTTTGTGGCTCATGAGGCTGATTTCTCTCAGAATGAAAATACTCACTTTTAGTGTCTTACAGCGCCTCCCAGAGGACAACAGCTCATACAGAGAAAAGAAACTCGGCGTTCTTCTTCATGTGAATTTAAACTGACATTAATGACACTGATGCGACTGTCTCCGTTGTTTTCAGGCAGCAGAGATGACTCATGTCACCAATCATGGGAAGCTGCTGTTGCAGCGTTTGCATCAGCAGCGAGAGATGGACTTCTTGTGCGACATAACCATAATGGTGAGAGATGTGGAGTTCAGAGCTCACCGCAACATCCTGGCTGCCTTCAGCAAGTACTTCTCCTCCCAGGCTGAGAAAGTTCAAGATGTCACGACCTTGGACCCGGACAAGGTCAGCCGCTACGCCCTGGAGAAGCTACTGGAGTTTATTTACACTGGACAGATGAACCTCAGCAGGTAACACAGGTTTTCATACAGGGTGTGCTTTTGTTTTAAAGAGAATTCAGATTAAATTACATTTTTTCAGGTGAGTTACTGAATAAAATGTTTGTTTTCATGGTTTCAGCACCAGACAAGCAGCTGTGCGTCGAGCAGCTGTGTTCCTGGGAATGTCTGAGGCCACAAAGTATCTGGAGGAAATCCCCCACTGGTCCGAGCCCAGCGAAACCTCCCAGTCTGAGGTGGACAAAGAAACTGGCCTCTCTCCTCCCAGTCCAACCTCTCCCGGCAGCCCCACCTCCCCGGTCCCCCTGTCTATTGTCTCCATTGCCGGGGACTGGCATGATGAGGGGAAGGATGGCAAACAGCAGGAGGGTGAGCCCAAAGATGTGGATGTGGGAGAGGGAGACAAGAGCGATGAAGAGTACACCCCCACAACACCAAAGAGCGCTGGACGTGGACAGGGCAGGAAGAGAGGAAGGCCCAAGAGCTTCAGTGGTGAGCAGGCGGAGCCCGGCAGCTCGGCTGATGGCACCCCCAAAACCCAGGCCTACAGGGGGAGGGGGAGAGGCAGAGGGAGGGGCAGGGGGAGAGGCAGAGGGAGAGGAAGAGGAGGTTTTAATAATGAAGATCTGTCTTTAGAAGATTCTGACACGAGTGTGAAGGACTTCGGGGACACCTCCGCAGACTGGAGCCCCTCGCAGGACGACGACTCTCCGGCCAAGAAGCCTCGACTGAGCAGCAGCGAGGGGCGGAGAGGACGAGGCCGGGGGAGGGGGAGAGGCAGGGGCAGAGGGAGAGGCAGGGGCCGAGGCAGGAGGAGGACTGGGGAGGAGGGAGTAGAGGAGGAGAGCGGCTCGGTGGGGGCTGATGACGAAGAGGAGGAGGAGGAAGAGGAGGATGACGAAGAGGATGAGGAAGAGGAGGAGGAGGGTGAGATTGGGGAACAGGATCCGTCAGAGATGGACGAGATGTCGCTGTCGTGCACCGAGTGCAACAAACTGTTTAAAGACGCGAGCAGCCTCCGGCGCCACGAGAAGATCCATAAGGGCCTGAAGCCGTTCGTCTGCATCTTCTGCTCCAAGACGTTCAGACAAGCCACACAGCTGAAGACACACCTGCGCATTCACACAGGTGAGTCACAGGTAATACCTCAGCTATCAGGGATTTCATTAGAACGGTAAATCAGTCAGCTAATTATTATTTTCATTACCAATTAATCTGTGTCACATTTATCAATGAATCATTTAATCTTTAATGAATCAGAAAATAGTCTCCGTTAGAGCTGAAACATTTCACACATTAAATAATCTGTTAATAGAACAAAAATAATCAGTGACTATTTTTTGATTGATTAATTGTCTCTGTCATTTTTCAAGCAGAAATAGTGAAAAATAATTCTCTGCTTTTCTCTGCTTCATATCATTGTAAACTAAATACTTTTACTACTGTTTGGCATTTCAAAGACTAAACGATTGATTGAATAAATAATCTGATCGATAATGAAAATCTTTAGTGTGCATCAGAGTTCCCGGAGCTGAAGGTGAAGTCTGTAAAAGTTTTGTTCCAAAACACCTTTTTAAAAATGGTATAAAACACAGAAAAGCAGCAAATCCTCATCTCAGATTTCCTGATAAATAACGTGAACCGTTAAAACTGAAAATAAATGTTTTTGTCTTTTGACTAATTCAGGATTTTCTGCAGCATATTTTAGAGGAGGAACTCTGACTGGCCTGGAATAAAAAGCGTTCATGTGAAGCAGCTGCACTAGTTTCATCCGTGGCTGTGATCAGAGTGGAGGTGGTTTAGTGGTTTCCACCTCTGCTCAACAGTTTCTTTGTAATTCAACAGCTGACAAATTGTTCCAGCACATGAAGCGATGTCAGCTAAGGTTTGATGAACTTCAGACAGTTCGTATCAGTGTGTTTTCTCTTCGTGGCTAATCTCTCCTTGTTGTGTCTCTTCCTCTCTGCAGGCGAGAAACCGTTCGGTTGCTCCGACTGTGACAAGTGTTTTGCTCAGAAGTGCCAGCTGGTTGCTCACCGCCGCATGTACCACGGCGAGGAGAAACCTTACACCTGCGAGCGCTGCGGCTTCAAGTTTGCCACGTCGTCCAATTACAAAATACACATCAGGTACAAGTGCTGCGTCAGTCACCAGACTTTAACAACATTTAATCCACATTTCTTCTCTGTATTATCACAAGATATTAATAGAAACATCCATCGACCTCAGAGGGTTAAATAGTGACACCTTAAAGCTGCAACTTATATTGATTAATGTGTCAATTATTTTTGATTTATTCAGTTTCACGATGATATGAAACTAAAAAAAAACAGTAAATCCTCATGTTTAAGAAGCTGATATTTGGAATTTTTACTGGATGAATGACTAAAATTAATAAGTGTCTGCTAACTCTGGACATAACTCAGCATCTCCTCCTGACTCCTGACATTTTATTTTTCATGTTAGTCGAGTGATGTTTGTTTCCGTAGACACAAACAAAGTCTCAGTGCGACTCCCTGACTTTGTGTTTGTTTGTTTTCTACAGACTGCACAGCGGGGAAAAGCCGTACGTCTGTGACATCTGTGGTCAGGCGTTCGCTCAGTCCAGCACCCTGACGTATCACAAACGACGACACACCGGAGAGAAACCGTACCAGTGTGACCTGTGCGGCATGTCGTTCTCCGTCTCGTCCTCCCTCATCGCACACGCAAGAAAACACACGGGTGAGATGCTTTTACCTTCTTTATTAACCCGGGGAAAGAGTGAAGGAGGAATTACACAACTGTTCTGGTTTCCTTCCAGACTCTCAGTTAACAGCTCAAAGCAGCTTGTTTCCATTCGCTTGACTCAGTTGTTTAATTATATTAAAGTATTAAAATTTAAATATATTGGGGCGTCGAGTGGTGCAGTGGTCTAAGCAGGCGCCCCGTGTGTAGAGGCAGCTCCTCGCTGCAGTCGGCCCCGGTTCGAATCCCGCATTGGACGGCCCTTTACTGCATGTCATTCCCCCTCTCTCTCTGCCTCCCCATTTCCTGTCTCTCTCTACTGTCCTGTCCAATAAAGGCACAAAAGCCCCAAAAAATATACTTTAAAATTTAAATATATTGTTTTACACGTGTGTGATATGAACGTATTTCTGTTTTTAGGTGAGACTCCGTACAAATGTTCTCAGCCAAAATGTGACGCACGTTTTGTGACGTCTTCTGAACTGAAGAAACACATGAGACGACTTCACCCAGGTGAGTTTCCACTTTTCTTTATAGAACAACGTTTCATACAAATGATATTCACAACTAAGATTAAGACGCACGCCTAGGGTAATTTCTTATTTTCTTAATTTGACACTCATCATCTCAATACGAAGAGTAGAGATGTTGTGATTCACTGATTGAGGGAAGTTGCAGGTAAAAGAGGAAATTAAAGGCCTGAAGAAAAGTTTAAGCTCAAGAGAAACTGACGTGATGTGAACTTTAACCCTGACTGCTGAACGAGTGAACAGCCAGTTCACCAACAGAGCTGCTCCTCGCGGTGATCAGAGGGGACGACAGGAGGGTTTAATCTGTCTCGCACTGTGTTTGTGTTTGTGCAGAGGGGAACACCGGCGTGCAGTGCCTGCTGTGTGGAAACAGATTCGCCAGCGTGAAGAACATGATCAAACACCAGGAGAAGGCTCACGCCGATGAAGTGCGGCAACACAAGGAGAGAGCCAGAGCTGGTGGGTGTTTTTTAACAGGATGTTTTTATTTTATTAATTGAAATTGATCGCACACTCTGGCTATGTCCACATGACTACGTTTTCATTTTTAAGACAGTGTTTTCAAACGCAAACGTTCTCCGTCCAGACTAACGCACCTGAAAACACATACATGAGCAATCATGTACACTGAGCATGTGCGAGCCGGTGTAAACAGGAAGTAGATTATCTACTCTGCAGTTGATTAGTCGCAAAAAATACTATGAACGAGGAACAGTAAAGACAGCTGCAGTGTTAAAACAGAGAATGTAAGTGAACAACAGCTGCTAAGACAACAAGGTCAGTAACACTGTCATTCATCATCATGTTGTATTCACCACTGGTAGTCCAGGCTGATGAGAGCCAATCAGGAGAGACCGTGGCTGTGACCTCATTGTTTACAAAGGTCTCAGTCTCAGGAAACGTAGGAAAAGTGATGAGTGTTAAAATGAAAACGTAGTCGTGTGAGTCTCCCATAAAGATCACGACGCAGTCAGGTTCAGTTTCTGACTGTGTGTGTGTGTGTGTGTGTGTGTGTGTGTGTGTGTGTGTGTGTGTGTGTGAGAAGCAGTCGTCCTCCTGGCCTCCAGTCATCCTGTGGCCTTCGTCCAGAGCAAACTCTCCCAGGAAAACAAAGGTTTGGTGTCGATCCCCGAAGGCGAGCCAGCCAACCCGGAGCCCACCACCCCCAACCCCAAAGCCATAGCTCCGTCTGCAGACGCGGACGCCAGCTCCGCCGAGGCCGACGCTGACGCTACCACCACCGCCTCCATCATCGAGGGCTTCAAGTCGGAGCCCGCTCACCCGCCTATCACTGCCGCGGACCAGGTGACCTTCGACGCTGACCAGGAGCAGACCATCAACTCGGACACCCTCCACGCTCTGGTGGAGCAGCTGCGGCCGCCGCCCTCCCCGGCCCAGAGCCTGGAGCAGATCGTCATCATCAGGACAGTGGACACCGCCGAAAACAACCCTCCTCAGCAGTGAGGCCCGAGCCACGGCGGGGTCAAAGGTCACTGTGGTTGAACATTTCACTTGTTGACACACAAGCTGCAGTCAGCCTGTGGATCCAAGTCGAGGCTCAAATTCAGTCTTGTTTCCCTAAAAATAGACTTTAATGGACATGTGGTAAAATGTAAGTGAAGGATAAAACTGGTTTATTACAACTTGGGTTTTATTTTTATAGTTTTGTCCGTCATCTCTATCAGTAATAAAACGATTAGATGATTAAAGATGGCAGCTGAGATCTTTCAACTTGATAAACTCAGTAAAAAGAAGTCGGACAGATCAAGAAACACGAGCAGACGGTGAAATTATAATTCAAACTGTCCATTAGAAACAAGTTCGACCTACTGAACTGAACTTTTCAGGTGCGCACGCTTTCAGTTTGTTTGATCGTTGGTTGTTTTTCTCGTGTCATCAAACTTGAGTGAAATGATTTTGCTGCTTCCAGATCTCAGCTGTTACTTTAAGTTACTGTTGTAATTACTTGTAGAAATGAGGGAAGAAAAAACTTCAAAATAAGACCTGAGTTGTAAAACAAACAAACTAACATTTGTCTCCTTTTCTCTTGAGTCCGTCACTGACAAACGACTCGGCCACATTTTCACTAAGTGGAAATCGAAGGTAGAAATCCAACAGAGTGGATTCGTTATTGATGCCAGAAAAGCCAGAAATCAACGCCACTGAACAGATAACCCTCTGTCGCCATAGCAACTTCAATTTAGTTCCTGGTGCCGCAAGTGTTTTCATAACTCTGAAACAGGTGGTGAGGAATTTACTGTACCGAGTGACATAAACAACACTGATGATTTTAGGGCTGCAATTAAACATTATTTTCATCATTTAATGTGCAGATTATTTTTCTCTGTGAAAATATTGATCCATCCCAGGTGACGTCTTCAGATGATTTGTTTTTTTCTGACCAACATCCCAAAACCCAGAGATATTCAGTTTACTGTGACGCAAGACAGAGAAACTGAAAATCTTCACATTTGAGGGGCTGAAAAGAGCAATTCTTTTGGAATTTTTGCTTGAAAATTTACCTAAATAATGAATCTTGTCAAAATAGTTGGTGATTATTATTCTGACAATCAATCAATCCACTAATTGTTGCAGCTCTAGATGAGTTCATGTTGTTTTGTCTCTAACGAAGCTTGATCTTTTGAAATTCGTTAATAAATCTTCATCAGAGATGCACAGATCCAGCGTTCTGCTGCCAACACTGACCCATACAGTAACGTGACTAATCCACATTAGATACAGTTTCTATTCACGTCATAAAATCTACTGTTTCGGGTCTTAGTTACATCACTCATAGTGAGTCGATTCAGTTTTGTGTTGCCGTAGAAATCCTGCAGCATAAATGACAGCAGTTAGTTTGTCATTTCAACAGCATCCCAACAGCGGGAGGCATGTTGTCATATTTTCTATTTCACACATAAAAGAATCACTTTAATTAGAGGTTAACGGATTTTAAAGAGCATCGAGTTCAGGTGTCAGGATCAGCATCAGAGGAGGACAGAGTCTGATCGGTGCGTCCCTGATCCTCACAGTGGTTCAGAAGAGGAGGAAAAGCCTCCTGGGTTTAGTTTATGGGAACTTTTAGTCAAAACTGTCTGTGGTAAAAAGTGGAAATGTTCTACCAGGTCTGAATATCACTCCTCATTTAGAGCCATGTCTCATTTCATCACTCTGAGTAACGCGTCATGTAGCGTCAGTGACATCGCCAGAAAACCTCTCTGCTCTACTTTTTCTTCCACTGTGGCTGATGAGTTTAGTTGAACTTTATTTAAATTTTACTACTTTACCAAAAAAAACCTGTCAGACTAACAACATGTTCTCGGACAGTGACGTGTGGCTGGAGTTACTTTTCTGTTACAGCTCAGTAACAGATGAGTAACTAACAGAAAAACAAGGTCATCAGACCTAAATGTTGACAGAATAAATGTGTAATGAGACAGCCAATACAACTCTTCCATTGTTTTAATAGATATGTATGTAGTTAGCAGGAGCCTAGTTATCGCTCTGAGATATGATTTTTATTTATCATAAATGTTTCACCTGTAAGTGTTTGACATGTGATGGTGGCTTTATCATTGTGAACAGCCCTGTTGATGCAAACCAAGGTTTCTGTTTCAGTGTAATATAGTTAGTGTTTTTTTTGTTTTTTTTTAAAGCAGCTGTTTCAGGTCTTAGCAGAAATGTTTGTGCTTCAAGTTTGAAAACTGCTTCATATACAGTGTTTCTATCAACTTGAAAGTAGCTGTTTGTTTCATGTTTTCTTTTTTCTTTCTTTGTTTTGGATAAAACGTCTGCATTACGTGTACAGAAATGTGAATTACATACACAGCTTCACTACTGTATAAAAACTGTACAACAGAACAGGAAAATAAAATAAAAGACAAAAAGGGACAATCAGGTGTGTGGCACATTTATCAAACAAACACCTCATATTCAATAAAAGATTATGCTTTATATGTATGGTTAAAACAAGATATTCCTGGAGTATCCACATGTGAACAACAGAAAATAAAATCAAATAAAAACAAGCCAAACCAGGAATTACAACATAAAAAAAGAAGATAAAGTTTAATGGTAATCAATACGTGTCAAGGTGGAGGAGGATTTTCTACAATCAAGCAACCCAAAAGCTGCTCTTATTAATTAATAAGATTGGTTAATTAAACCATTAATGGCTTATAAAGCATTAGTAAATTATTTATTAATCATTAATAAAATCATTAATTTCACCGTCATTTGGTATCTGAGAGAAGAGGAATCAAATTTACATTTTTAAAAATAAATTTTAACCATCAAAATATAAAAAGAGACATTATGTTAACGCTTGCTACAGAAAAAATTGTTTACTACTGTTTTAAAAAATTGCTTTTGTCTTTTGTCCCTTGCGAGACGCCGTCCCCCCTTGTTGCCGTAGCAACTCATACGTTACAATAATAAAGATGGCTCGCGAGTTTTACGAATCTCTCTGCGCACAGCAAGAGATAAAAATAAATCCACTTATTGTAGAAGTTTTAGAGAAGACGACGCTGACGGAGTGAGTAGTTAACTGTACATTAAATAACTAAATATTAAGATTAGGTATTTATACGTTGTTTATTAAATAAGTAGAACTCCTGAATTCCGAGTCTTCGGCTAGTCGAGTATGAGAGCTTTTTCCAAATTTAGCATTTTCTAATTTGTTTCTTTAAAAGTATTTCTTTCCCAGAAAACACTGGACTAAATTATTGCAATTAAAGTATTTAATTAATCAAAATTAAAAAGCTGTTACAATCGGTTTTCTGTTTTTGGCTCTGCATCTTTAGGAGAAAAATATTGAAGATTTGTTTTGACCTTTTTTCTAATTATTCAGATTCTTATGCACTTACAAGAACTTGTGCCAAGTAAATTAAAGTAGAAAATGTTTGATTAACAACTTATTGTATTTCATCTAAATCTGGGACAGTACGCGTGTAAAACTAGACAGGTTTTTACAAATGTAAATCAGTTAAATTCTGTTTCGTGTTTGGCAGGAATTTCACCTTGAAACTGGCAGGAAACAACCGACTGAGACGCGTTCAAAGACTCAACGATGAAGACGTTCTCATTGTCTGTAAATGTCTGAAAAACAAGTGTGTGACAGGTGAGCAGTCCTGGTTCTGGTGAACACCTTAACTAGGATATTTAAACTATTTTAAAACTTTGTTCTTTGTATATGGACAGGTCTTGATGTGAGGTACAATAACATCACAGATGAAGGGGTTGGACACCTGGCCGACCTCTTACAGGTAGGTCATGGGGGATAGGTCATTGATTTTAAATAAGTAACAGCTCAGAGTCTCATTTTACTTTTCATGCACAGTCCATGGATGTTAAAGGTTAAAAACAAACAAAAGGAGGAAAATAGTTTCATGTTATTCATGTTGCAGCTGTAGTTTATGTTAAACTGTGTGTTTTCCCTGAGCAGGAGGAGAACTCAGCTCTGCGCTGTTTGGACCTGAAGTTCAACAACATCCTGACAGACGGAGCTGAAATCCTCAGCAAGAGCCTGCAGGTTAATTTCTATCTGTCATAAATGCACATGCTAATGTAAACTTACACTTACTTTTACATGTGTGGATTTAAAAGACAAAGTTGGGGTTATTTTTATATATTTCTTATTGTCAGGAAATACCATGAATACCAGACATAGTTTCTATCAGACAAACAAGGGGATTTTATCATTTAAATTTGTTGGGAACTATTTTGAACGGTGGATTAATCTGCATTTGATGCTGTAGTGAGTATCTGAGGCAGCAGGACGGTGTGTATAGGAGTTAAACTACAGTGTGTGTGTTCATGGTAATTATTGACGGTAACACCTTTTTTCTTTTCCCCTCTGCCTTAAGATTTTAAATGTCTAATGTCTGAAGGGTAATGATTTTGCTCTCTCTCTCTCTGCAGTGTAACCGCACCTTGCTCTCCCTCAGGCTGTCAGGTAATAAGATCGGGAACAGGGGAGCCATGCACCTGGCCAGCATGCTGCAGGTGAACAACACCCTGCAGGAGCTAGAGCTGGCTGACTGCGACCTGGTAAACACACATAGCACTGTTGGCCACTGATGATGGTTTTAGTGTCACTTCACTGTCTGTTTTTTTTTACTTTGTGAAGCAGCAGAGTAGAAGGTTAGATTGTCACAGTCCAATCAGGAGCTGGTTTGTCTGACCTTTCCTCTGTCCCTGAAGGCCACTCAGAGTGTGATCGCGTTCACCATCGTGTTGAAAAGCAACAAGAGTCTTCGCTCTGTTGATATCAGCCGGCCGCTGCTCTTCAGCCACCAGGTACAGACACACAGAGCATCACACTGATGTATTAGTTCTGAGTGTCTCTGTCCTTCATATTTGATTTATAATACAAGGTCAGTATCAGTGTGGATCAGCTGACAGATGTACGACTGTAACCTGAGCCTCTGTCTCTCAGGAGGAGTGGGCGGTGCACTGCTCTGAGATGCTGGCTCTGAACAGCAGCCTGGTGGAGCTGCACCTGGGGAAGATGGGGATGACCGACACCGGGATGGAGAGGCTGAGCGAAGGCCTGAGGCTCAACCACAGCCTGCGCTACCTGGACCTGCGCTGGTAGGAACGACAACATCAAACAAAATGCCGCGTGGTTCAAATTCATACTGTGGGTGCTGCTGAGGTACCTCACCTCGTCTTTGTTGTCTGTAGCAACCGTGTGACTCGTGACGGCGTGCACCATCTCGCCGAGGTGCTGAAGCAGAACCCGACCCTGGAGATCATAGATCTGTCGTCCAATCGGATTGAAGATGAGGGCGCTGTGTACCTGAGTGAAGCCATCGCCTGGCCACGCTGCGCCCTGAAGGAGTGAGTCTGACACACTCAGGAAAACGTTAGAAGTTACAGTGACGTTTCACTCTCGGACATTTAAACCTGTTTTATCTAAACATTTTATTTTTATTCAGTAAATGTTCTGGTGGTCGAGGGCAGTGAGTTCACAGCTTCTGACCCCTTTAAAATGAATCAGTGTTTCCTTGTGGGTCATGGGTTACAGGCAAAAAGTATCTTTTTTTAATTTAGTTTGTTTCTGTGTCAGTTTTCTCATCTGAATATTCAACAATGCTGATTTTATTTTATGTTGTTTTTCACTCACTGAAAGCTCTGGAAGTCCGGATCCCACAGCCCCACCGGTTGGCAGCCGGCTCGATCACTAGGAAAGCCAGGCTCCACAAAAATAAATTAAAATTAAAACTAAAATTAAAATAAAGAAAATCAAAAGTGAGTGAGTGAGTGAAAACAAACAAATAAAAAAATAACCCTCTTGTGACCCCTCAGAGTTATTTTGAGACCCCTTGGTGGGTCCCGGCCCCCAGATTAAGAACCATTATTTTAAATGAATGACTCAGTCTGTCTTTGTCTGTCAGGCTGTCTGTCAACAGTAACAACATCAGGACGGAGGGTCTGCTGTCTTTGACTCAGGCTATGAAAACTAACACAACTCTGACGCACATCTACATCTGGGGAAACCTACTGGAAGAGCCTGTCTGCCAGGTAACACACACACACACACACACACACACACACACACACTATGGTTATACACATGCTGTCCTCCTGAGCTGCAACAGATTCAGATGAGCTGCTTCCCTCAGGCCTTCAGAGAGCTGATAACCAGCGGCCGCCTGCTGCCGCAGCACACAGACGTCAGCGCGTACGAGGTGGACGGTCGGGTGTTTCTCGCCGAGGTCTTCCAGAATTTGAGGAGAAATTATTACAGCACAGACTGCTCTGGTACAGAAACACACTCCGACTCAAACCCCGCTGCCGGGCCAGACTTCACCTCTGCACGGCTCATTGAGAACCAGCAGCTCGTTCCTCTGCAGCCCTACTGAGCTCATTAACTTCTCCCAACACACAGAGACAGTCAGAACAGTCAGACACACCCACCAAAGCCTGTACGAGCATCAAAAGAACAGAATAAATGATGCAAATATGACAAAAGAAGTCGTGAAGCTTCTGAACAATAAAGGTAAATAAAATGTTGCCTATGATTCTTTTTCTTTAATCAAAGGTGAATCCAAAATCAACATCTGCATCCCGAGATCCTTCTGTTTTACATTTAAATGTGAAATGAGATTTAAGGGTGAATGATATGAACTGTAAGGATTTAAGCAGGTGAACATACATTGTGTGTGCATCTGAAATAGTTCAAGTATTCAGTAAGTGCATTTCTAAATCTCAGCAGTGATTCAATATCTACTCTGACTCAAACTGCATCATGATGTGGACACACAGCATCATCATATCTGTGTCCAGAGTAATGATTCCACACCAGTTACACCTAAACACTAATGAAATCAGCTCGTGGAGGGAGGCAGAGCGTACAGCAGGAGGTTCAGAGAAACTACCATGTGTTTGCCATGGAAACAGCAGTTAACAGAAATCTTATAACCACAACACCTGCCCGACTAATGACATTCCTGTCAGTTCAACTTCACAGAGCTGTTTGCCTGGATGTAGATTCTCAATGAGACTTTAAAAAAAAAATCTTTTGGCCAGTTTGAAAAAGATTCAAGTTGTGAAAATGACAAAAAATATTCCTAATATCTCTCCAGACCTGAGAAGACGCCTTAATCAGATTCATATCTTGTTGTATTGAACCAAAAAAAAATCACAAAATTAAAAACTATAAATGATTATTTACAAAGCATTTTGCTTTTGCTCTGGTGAAATCTCGTAGGTGCAATAAATGAGAGCTGGAAATGTTTTGATTCTTCAGACGTCCTTCATCTTTGGTGCCTACTCCTCTGGCCTCTCGTGATTGGTCGTCTTACATGATGATGCCGCGTCTTCAATGTCGGGATCCCACTCCAGCAGGACGCTCCTCTTCCTCAGGCTGTGGTTCAGCTGCTCTCGGTCCTGAGAGCCCATCGTCCACCGCCGCACAGCCAGCCGGGTCAGCGCCGGCAGCCGAGGCAGAGCGCAGAGCAGCGCCGGCAGCCAGGCCGAGAAGGAGGCGGAGGTCGAAGGTCGCAGGCTGAGGTCGAGGTCCTCCAGGGAGCCCAGGCCTCCCGCTGCAAACAGGGCCGACCAGCCGTCGTCACCCACAGAGCCGTTGTACGAGAGATCCAGAACCCGGAGAGACGACAGACAACCACGTCTGCACACTGCAGCTGCACAGGACACAGAGGAGAAATCAGTGTAACATGAAGTGACACCGTGATGACCGATTCACGTTCACTCATCCTGGTGCTGGATGCTCGATATTCATGTTTGTTTTGGCACATTCACTCTCTCACTCATTCACACTCACTCAAGGGGGCCGTAAAGGGGGGGAAAGTTAGATTCTAAGGGCCCATGATTGACAGAGGGCCTCCCAAAAAAAATAAAAAATATATTTTTATTGACCTTTGGTGAGGGGGCCCAATGTGATATTTATTCATGGGGCCCAAAATCCCCGGCGCACTCACACATCCACTCGCTCTCTCACTCACACGCTTACACACTCACACATCCACTCGCTCTCCCACTCGCTGAGGGCTCTGGCGGTCCACTCACACATCCACTCGCTCTCCCACTCGCTGAGGGCTCTGGCGGTCGGATGTCACTGCCCCACTTGGTCGGCAGCAGCTCAATCTCAGAGGAGAGCCGCACGGCAAACTTAAGCTTGCAACGTCCAGTTCCAGATTCACGGGGCCTCCACCGCAGCCATGTGCGTGTGGGCATCTCGGTCGCCGTCCCTAGAGACCGAGACCTTGCGCTCACCCTACCAGAGCCCTCTGCCACCGCTCCCCTGAGGGAGCGCGGCTCTACTGAAGAGAGAGAAAACGACTTCTATTTACAAACTCGGTTTCACGAACGTCGTGACGTGTTAATGACGTCATGTAAATGGCAGGGGTTTCCTGTTGTGGCGTCATAGTGGCATTATTGAAATGGGCGGGGCTTGCTGCGTTGTGACGTTGTGGAATTCGCAGACCACAGTTAATCAAACTGCTGTTTTCACCTGACAGTAAAATTAAATTGTTTTTGTTTAGTCATATTTTTCCAGCTTGTTTTGTTACTCAACATTTTTCCACTGTGGTAGAACTACTTTAAAGATTTGAGTATTTCTTCCACATTTAATATAACACCATATTTAACTTATAGGAAGAACAAAAAAATCAACTTTGTGGCCTGAGAACAACGCCTCACAACAGTGATGACCCCCAAAGTTAACCAGTTTTTTTTGACTGATGGATTATTAATTGTTCAAAAAGCCTAATTAAGAGGTACAGCTGTTTAAATCACTGGAATCAGGAAGCAAACATCTGGATCAGCTGGTCTGAGGAAACACTGTACATGTTGGCTGATTTTATGCGGAACAAAATAATAATAATTACTTTAGAACATGAATTATCCTGCATCTATATGTTATATTATCACATGACTTGATTATGCTGTAGTTTGTCCACCCCATGTGACAAACGTACGTTTGTTTGGTGGAAAGTTTTCAGAAAAAAGAAGCAAAAAAGAAGAAAACAGGAAACCAATCATCAACTTTAACCTTGTGTTCAGTTCACTGTGACTGCATCACCTGTGATTGTGTTACTACTCATGATACATGAGTTTGTTCCGACCACGTAATTTGCTTGGACGAGAGGTATTCCTTCATACAACAGCACTGAGACTTTTAACTTATTGTATCACTCCGCTTCACCGGTGTTCTTTTAACCGTTAATTAGCGTTACCTTAACGGTCGTTATCTGTCTTAGATTGTAAAAAAAAAAAACTTTGCAAAGATGAAAATATTTCCAGAAATAATATTTGTATTAAATGGAGTATGGTGGTCAGAGGAGGATGAAGGGAAGAAGTCTGGATACTTCAGCGCACTCCTGAGGTAACGTGTACACAAAGTAGCTAGCTAGCAACGGTCGTCTGCCAGTCCAGTGTCGGAACTATTTGTGTTGTCGTAGCCAAAATGATAAAAAAAAACAACAACAAACAAACAAAAAAAAACCCAAAAACAAATCATAATCTGTTGTTCGTCATTTAACTAATGTGGCGTCCGTAGAACTGTTGTATAAAAGTAATATCACAGGAGAGGGAGTGATGCACTGAATATCACGGTTAAATGTACAGCTTGACTGTCTACAGGACGGTGAGGGGAGGTGGCATGTGTGGGTTGTGTTCACGGTGTGGCCTTCTGTAAACGAACAACAATGTTCCAGCTTCACATTCAGTTAAACTGTGAAGACATTTCACAGTTTAACATGAATTGACACCGTGATGACCGATTCACGTTCAGTCATCCTGGTGCTGGATGCTCGATATTCATGTTTGTTTTGGCACATTCACTCTCTCACTCATTCACACTCACTCACACACTTGCACACTCACACATCCACTCACACACTTACACACTCACACATCCACTCACTCTCTCACTCACACACTTACACACTCACACATCCACTCGCTCTCTCACTCACACATCCACTCGCTCTCCCACTCGCTGAGGGCTCTGGCGGTCGGATGTCACTGCCCCACTTGGTCGGCAGCAGCTCAATCTCAGAGGAGAGCCGCACGGCAAACTTAAGCTTGCAACGTCCAGTTCCAGATTCACGGGGCCTCCACCGCAGCCTTGTGCGTGTGGGCATCTCGGTCGCCGTCCCTAGAGACCGAGACCTTGCGCTCACCCGACCGCCAGAGCCCTCTGCCACCGCTCCCCTGAGGGAGCGCGGCTCTACTGAAGAGAGAGAAAACGACTTCTATTTACTAACTCGGTTTCACGAACTTCGTGACGTATTAATGACGTCGTGTACATGGGCGGAGTTTCTGTGTTGTGGCGTCATAGTGGCATTATTGAAATGGGCGGGGCTTGCTGCGTTGTGACGTTGTGGAATTCGCAACCCAGAGTTAGTAAATAGAAGTCGTCTGTCTGTTACCTAGGTGACGCAGGTCTTCAGTGCAGAGCTCACAGCTGCTGAGGCGAAGCTCCAGGAGGACTGATGACTGCAAAGCATCCAGGAGCAGAGCCGAGCGACCGCTGACCACCTTACACCAGGAAACATCCACGCTGTGGAGGTAAGGCACGGCCAGGGCTGACACACACACACATACACACACACACACACACACACACACACACAAAAATTTAATTTTTGCTGGTATTTTTTCGCGGGGGTCACCTGTATGTAACAAGCTCAAGAACTCAGACTCCAAAGTACAGATAAAGTGGAGGCAGCAGGAGCAGCAGCTGTACTGGTCACCGTAGTACCAGTACAAGTAGTGACTGTAGTACTGGTGGTAGTTGTAGTACGAGGATCAGCTTTACCCAGAGCAGTGAGCGACTCCTCACTGAGGCTGCAGCTGTTGAGAGGCAGACGCCTCATCTGTGTCAGAGGGAGGGCAGAGACCAGCGGGTGAACGATGCCTCCTGCCTCCTTATTGGACGACACGTCGAGCTCTGTCAGCGCTGTCAGAGAGGGGAGCACCTGGACTGAAAACAAGGAGTCACATGACTGCTACAGCCTCTCATATCAGTTCACCTGAGGGTTCAGATTAATATATTAATACATACACACACACACACACACACACACACACACACTCACTCACCCAGGGCCTCAAGGTCGGTGTGTGTGAGACAGCACAGGTGAAGGTCAAGGCTCTCCAGGTGTGTGAGGTGAGCCAGGTGGAGGGTGAGCTGGTTCAGTCCTCCAGCTAGATTTTTGTTACAGGACAAGTCCAACTCTCGCACTGAGGGGAGGCAGCGGAGCGAACCACCTGCAGGACAGTGGGACGAGGGGGGATCATTTCATGAATTATTTAAAAAGATATTGTCAAGTTATAAGAAAAAGGCCTCACTTACAGGAACTGGACAACTAATTATTTATAGAATATCAGAAATCTATTTTTCTGGCTCATCCATGTTTGTTGCAAACCATTATTTGATTGAATGAAATTTGTTGAATTCACATTTTTAGGTGATAAAACAGCAGAAATAAAGTAGATACAGACAAACACACAGAGCATGAAAACCACCTGAGCAGAGGAAACTCAGTCACCCTCAGAATGAAGATGATCCGGGAAAATAAAACAGGAATTAGCCAGAAGGTAAAGTGGTTTATAAATAGCCACATGGTGGCGCTATCTGCACCAAAAACAAACCACTTCTTCTCTGCATGGAGGAAGTTTGCCCCGAATATCATTGAAATCCATTGTGTAGTTTTTGAAATATTATGACTAACAGACAAATTGGAAGGAAAATATGAACTCCATGATAAATATAATTAGTATATTATATACAGTACTATAACCCCAACTGTGCTTTCACCATCATCTCATTCATCTCATACAGCCTGTGTTGACAGTTTCACCAGCAGCAGATCTCCTACCGAGAGCCTGGAGGCAGTCCGTCATCAGACCGCAGGCCTGTAACCGCAGCACAGTGAGGGAGGCGGCGTGAGAGAGAGAGGTGGCCAGTTCCCTGAAGCCACCATCGTCCACTTCCTGTGCGAGCTGAGGGTTACAAGAGACATCCAGCACGCTGAGTCCAGGCAGAGCAGACACTGTTCTTCCTGAGAGGACAGACAACAGTAAGACAGCAGACAGAGACGATGTAATGAAGTTTAACAAGCTTTGACGAAGCTTTATAAACCTGCTTATAGTTTAAAGTCTGTTTTGAGTCCGTTTTGTAGTTTGATTTCTTTTGTTTATGTCACATAACTGAACACAATATACAGCTGCCGTGTAGCAGCAGAGTTGAATGATCATACAGAGAGAAGTAAATGAACCATAAACACTGCAGCTACACATGATTATAACATGCTGTTATATCCCTCACTTTCCCTGGATGTGCTCCTGTGGCATTATGGGAAATATAGGAAAAACAGCTACTTGAAATAGAACTACATTAGACAGGAGATGTTATCTAATAACTTCTTCTGTTTAATGAATAAATAAGTGAATAGAGGTTGGTTTTATTACCCAGAGCAGTAGCATCAGCTGCAGAGAGCTGACAGGCCACAAGGTGAATCTCCCTCAGTGGTGGTTGAAGGTTACCCAGAAGGCCTTGCAAGCCTCCGTCCCCGATGCCGCTGTTCCAGGACAAATCCAAGACTTCCAAAAGAGGGATGCAGTCGAGAGCGTTACCTAAAAAAAAAATCACACAGAACTGAAAATTAGGAGCGATATATTTTAGTTATTTTAGTTTCTTTAGCAGTGAGAGCTAAAGAGTCAGAGAAAACTCATTTATGATATGTGAAATTAAAACATCTTAAGCAATCAGGATTTCATGAATGTTTCACCTTTGAAAACAAAATAACTCAAAAAGCAGCTTGATGCATGAACTCAGTCTGTTATTCTTAATAATAATAATAATAATAATAATAATAATATGAAGTCTTTAGTCCCACCCAGTGCAGTGATGTCATCAGCGTTCAGCCTGCAGCTGCAGAGCCTCAGCGTCCTGATCCCACCCACATGATGGAGGTGAGAGGTCAGCGCCTTCAGACATCCACCAATCAGCTCGTTCCAGGAGACGTTCACTTCCTCCAGCTGAGGGAGCAACTGGAGCAGCGTCGCTGAGGGGGGCAGAGGAGAAGAAATCACATGAGTGTGTGTGAGTGTGTGAATATGTGAGTGGGTGAATGTGTGTGTGCGCGTGTGTGCGTGCACCTAGCTCCAGTAGATCTGTAGCAGTTAGATCACAGTGAGCCAGACTGAGGCTCCTGCTGTCGGCCTTCTTCCCCAGCTTCTGCAGGAAAACACACACTCGACCCCAGCCGACATCTCGCTCACTCTCCGCCGCCTCTGTGACACCTGAAACACACAAACACACACGTGCACGAACTTTATACAGCCGTCTGCACCCGATTCTTTCATTCTTACCTTTAGGAGACTGTTAAACACCTAAACATTTGCTTCTGTAGTTCAGTCATCATTTTCAAAAGCATGAACAATGTTAAAGGATCAGTTCACAAAAAGAGAAAAAACACAAAAAATTCAACCAGTTTTAGAGCCAGACTCACTGTGCTCAAGTGATATTTTAGCACTTGCACTTAAAGGTCTAATGTGAAGTCAAAGGAAAGTTTAGATCTGAGATTTTTACCTGGTAATCTCATCTCGACTGACACCACCAGAAAGAGTGGACAACAGAAAACAAACCTGAGCTCTGTCCTCTCTCCTCTCTGCCCTCCGTCTCTCCGTCCTCAGGGATCCCCGTCCGGTCCGAGCCTCGGGACAGGAAGCGTCCCAGCGGCCTCCTGTCCGAGGCCGTGCGCTTCCGACGGATCTGGCTCATGATGACGTCGAGAGGTGAGCGTCTCTGGCTGCCGCCATCTCGCCCACGCTGACCATCTGACCAAGGAGAAACACAAAACAAGAGGTCAATCAACTGAAATTTTAATGAAGTGACACTATGAACCAAAAACATCTCATCCTTTAAATCTTCTTAATATCACCGTTAAAACAAAGATTAATTTATTATAAATGCTATGATGCAAGGATTTTGTAAGTGTGCATCTATGTGCATGTTTACAGGGTTATGAATGTTAAATTATAGTCCAATAAATCACCCTTTAATCGTTGTTACTGACAATATGAGCTTGAGAAACAAAAGAATAACTGGGAGGTGTAAGAGATAACACTTTTGTAATGAAGTATATTATGTATCGTAATTATATTAAGTCTCTTAACTACAATAAGAGATTCTCCATGAATTAACAGCTGAAAAAAGTCACAATTAAAAGTTTAATATTTAATAATTAACCATATTGGAAAAAGTAAAAGCATTTAAGGGATTAAACCTTAAAGTGTTTTAATTTCGCTCTACAGAAGTTTACAGTCAGTTAGGAAGGTTAAAGTTATAAATGATAGATCGATAATCAATGTATTTCTTCCACAGAGGAATCAGCCTGTAGAACCTCCAGGACAGAAATCACTGTACTGTTGCAGTCCTGCACATTACTGCAGTAAAACCAGTAAAACCAGTGAAACCAGTGAAACCAGGGCAAAAAGATTGATCTTTACTGCACTCACCTGCAGCAGTCGTCTTACCTGCAGACTCCATGCGCTGACCAGGACAGAGATGATGAGAAAATAAAGAAACTCCAGTGTTTTTATAATCAGTCGTCACGGAGAGGCGTTCACGTGTTGTTTGTTTTGATTCGTGAAAATGAAAAGATAAAAAAATAAAGGTCTTTGTAATGTCCGCACTCCTTAAATCATATCTGCAGCTCCTAATAACTGATTCAGCCTTATGTAAAGTAACTAGCTAACTCCGCTCGGGTCTCACGTTGACACCTGGGTGACGTTATGTCCCGTGCTCGTCAGGTGGATCATCCCGGAAGTGCGACAACACCTTCAGCAAACGTTGGTATAACATTGTGCGTGCACTCAAAGCCGTTAAAACTAGTTCTTATTACTGTTAAACCAAATATATTCAACATGGAAACTTAACATTGTTTATTTATTACCCACAAAAAATATTGTGACACGCAAGTGAAAGTAATAATTTAGTAATATTTAAAATCTTCTATTCTCGACCAGTTTGATTTTATTTTCAAAATAAATTCATATAAAACAAGAAAAATGTTCTCAAACTGAACGTCTCTAAATGATCATCAATCAACATAATCAATATGTGATTGATCTGTTCAATTTTGTTTAATTTTCTATCCATTTTACTGTCACAAAATGTTTTAGTAACTCTAATTTTTTTAATTATCCAGCTGTGACTGCATCACCATTTACTACATACTTTTATTTTGAAATTAAATCACGGCTGGGTGATATTGAAACAGAAAAAAATATATATTTTTAAACATATATATATATATATTATTAAATAATATTGATAAATCTCACAATAATCACGTTCAGTGTGTTCTGCTGCTTACATTAGAGGAAATTATGATTATTTTAAAATAGTGAAAAACGCTCATGGATACATTTTAAAACAGCCTCTGTCAAAACTTGCTGTTGTTTTCAATGATAATTATTTTGATTAAAAACACATTTGTCAAAACAGACCGTGCCAGGTCAATATAAAACAATTAAGGTGTTAAAATAAGTTTTTGGAAAAGAGCCAGAGCATCAGACACTGAGTCTGGGCAACTCTCTGCCCAACTAATAAATCCTTGCAAAAGCTCATGACAATTTCCTAAAGCTCAAAGTGGCACCTTCTAATTATTGGCTGGAAAACGTTGGTGTTTTGTTTAAAAAAATATTGTTAAAGAGTAAATCACAAACCAATTAATCAACTAATTTCAAGCTTTGCTTGAAATAATGTAAAAGATAAAAAATTACACCAAATTATCAGACAAATTCACTTCATGAGTATCAATCCTTTTGACCCGTTTAATACTTGTGTGCAGCAACATGAATGAAACCAAACGCACAGACCTCAAACACGAACACGTTTCTTCCAAATTAACTTTATTAGATCTGACTGAAAACTCTGGAATGTACAGGATCATCTCTGTACTGAATCAACCTTTGGCTCACTGCAGGTGAACCTTCTCTGGAGGATTATCAGTCTAAAGCGCCTCCTCTCCTCCTCTGTCCTCCTCCATCTGCAGTAACAACAGGTAACAGACGGCAGAAAGGCTAAACTCCACCTGATCTGACTCTCATGCGGCTGCAGAGGAAGAAGAGCAGCGCAGAGGAAGGAGGCGTCTTTAAACCACAGATATGTCCTGCTCTCTTCCCTCCCTTCCTTCCTTCCTTCCTCCCTCCTTCCTTGTGGAAAAAACAAAAACAACAAAAAATGCCAAGATGAGTGGGATGGTTGTGTTGTCCAGCTGATGGGAACTTTATGGCAACGTCCCAGTTTGTTCTCCTCAGTCGTCGTCCACTGTGGGTGTGATGGTCACGCCCCTCCTGATCTGTCCCCAACCAATCAGACTGTCAGGAGAAAAGAGGAGACTCCAGGTTAGAGGAAGAAAACACTGTCAAACACTGAATGTCAAAATAAAAGTATGTAGAGGATGAGCTGAGATGATAGACTGTGTTAACATCACGTGATGGACGGTAGCTTGTCAATGTTCACGTCACCACTTGTACAAACTTTGTCTTTGTCCATTGAGATAACTGCGTATTTTAACAAGGTCCTTACCGCCAGTGTTTCTCCACTCGTCGACTCAGAGCGATCTTCTCTCCGACTTCTGTGCAGACGGGGTTGGTGAGGACGATCTTGGCCAGATCAGCCTTGACGGCGCTGACGCGGCCGCCGGTCGACAGCGAGCCGATGTTCACCATCAGCACCTCATTCTTAGACAGCTTCTGGACCTGCAGGGACATAAAAAGACGAGGGCTGCCGTCACCACATCGATCATCTCAAACAAGGAAACTGTTTAAACTTTTTGTCTCAGCTTGAATTCTGAGTTTCACTGCGTTTATGAGAATATAACAGACCCACCTTACAACTATACAATAATTAATTCCAAGCCTTGAATATCTTAACTTAAATTAAAAGACGTTTCCAGGACCTGCCGGCACAGTTACAGCTCAGGAAAACATATAGTTCAGAAGGTCTTTCCCATGATGCACAGCTCACCTTGGCAGCCTTCTTGTCTCCCTCTGTGCGGACTCCCAGCAGCCTCCTGAGCAGGAAATAGGAGATCTCCAGCTCGGTGAAGATCTCTGGCAGCGCTCCGACGGCACCCAGCACCTGACCGACCATACGATCGGCACGGCACAGCGTCGGGTCGATCTTCGTGCCCACACCTGCACGCAAACACATATTATAATCACTCAAAGGTTTTTTTTTTTTTTTACCCCTAACTGTTGTGTAGAAGTTTTGTTGATTTTACTACAACCTCTTTCCGTCAGTTATTTTACAAAACTCAGTGATTTCTCATAAATCTGTTGGTTTCCTGTGACTAAGACGTGGCCATCTCTCTTCACTAGAACTTAAAAAAATGAAGGTTGAAGTGTGTGAGCGTGGACCCACCGATCAGGCCTCCGGGTGCAGCGTACTGGAGGTCGTTATGCTCAGCAAACAGAGAGACGATCTTGGAGAAGATGGGTTTGCACATCAGCTTTCCTTCCTGGTCTTTGGACACGATACCGGGCCGCACCTCGATCTCCTGACCCACCTGGAGGTCACACGGAGCAACACACGACATATTAACAAAATAAATAAATGAATCAAATCCGACTTTGATACAGAAGCAGGTGTAATCTCTAAACAGAGGAGCTGTTTAAGTTCTTACATGCAGTTACTAAACTGATGTTAGTGGGTTTCAGGATCTTTTGTTTGACGCTCACCTTAAGCACGCCCTTTAGGATACTTCCTCCTGCCACGCCTCCTTTCAGGTCGTCAACTTCACAGCCGGGTTTGTTCACATCAAAGGATCTGATGACTGAAAGATGGAAGAGTAAAAATGTGAACAGACTTCAAACCAGTGAAATTTACTTACAGAGTGTCAGAAGGCTGAAAGAAGCCACCTGTGTACGTGTGGGGTTTTTCTTACCGATGAGTCTGGGTTCAGAAATGAAGTCTCTGACGGGGACTGGAATCTTTTTGACGATGTATTCACAAACCACCTCGATGTTGTACTTCAGCTGGGCTGAGATAGGAATGATGGGAGCTCCCTCTGCCACCGTCCCTGCAGGAGAAACATTACACACAACATCAGGCGACGGTGATCAAGGTTTTAGAGAAAGAAGAAAGTGACATGAAGAGACACTGGTTTTCCAAACTGGGAAAATGCAGCTGGATCTGCTCTTTGGAAAAGCATTTTGTTTTTGATCATAACTTTGAACTGATTGTGTTTAAATGATATCTTTCTTCTAAGGGACACTTTGTTGCTTCAGATTTTGAACGAAACCCTAACAGACGCCCTCTTCTTTGGAGTGTGGCTTTGTTCTGACTCACCCTGTACGAAAGCGAGGATCTGCTCGTACTGCTCTTTGGCCTGGCTCTCCTTCACCAGGTCGATCTTGTTCTGCAGGATGAGGATGTGCTTCAGCTTCATGATCTCTATGGCTGCCAGGTGCTCTGACGTCTGGGGCTGAGGACACGACTCGTTACCCGCTGGCACAAAGCGACGAGAACAAAACCCAGATTATTTCCAACCAGACTGGGAGTTAATAAATTCAATTTCAGTCTTGTTTATTGTTGGAGGGTGTTAAGCAGTCAGAGGTTTACCGATCAGCAGGAGGGCTGCGTCCATGACGGCGGCTCCGTTCAACATAGTTGCCATCAAAATGTCGTGACCAGGACAATCCACAAATGACACGTGTCTGTCAGAAAGAAGAGAAAGTCCTGTTGATGCATGTGCAAAGATTTCACAGATTTTACCAGTTTACTGTCAAACTGCTGACAGAGTCGTTTGAAGAGAATCTGACACCCTTCACTGAAAACCCTTAATCTGTCCCTTTGAAGGCTCACCTGACCAGTTTGAAGTTGCCCTTGGTGCCGGAGATGTCTGTGGGAAACTCATCTGGAGTGCTGCTGCCACACGACCTGTAGCACTCTGGCCTGGGACAGCTGACATCATCCAGTTTATAGATCTAGGACACAATGGGAGGGTAAAAACATTCAAGTGAGTATAAGCTTCTCCAAACGAGGACGAGTTTTTATTATCAACACATAGCAGCTTAAAGGAGTCTCATGTTTTTATTTATGTACTTTTAACACACTGACACTTCCCTCTAAAAAGAGGTCAAGCAGAGGTCAAGTTAACAGAAACAGACTGTTTACCTTAGCATTAGCATATCCTAACTTGATGGTGATGTTCCTCTCCAGCTCATTCTTGAACCTGACAGTGTGAACGCCGGAAATGGCCTTCACTACTGTGGACTTTCCGTGGGCCACATGACCGATGGTGCCTAGCAGAAGGAAGGGTGGGGGGGTAGAGAAAGTCAAAAAACAGCCTCCATAATGGGAGCTAGTGTACCAAAACCAAAACAATGGTAAATATAGTTTAGCCCAATGATTGATTTCCATACCAATATTGATGGTGGCCTGTCTGCTGATGATCTCTTGGGACAGAGGTGTCAGGGTGGACACATCCTGGAGAGACAACGACACACATTAGACTGATCACACACCGAACAACAACACAGCAGAGCAGCGCTGCATCCCTCTGTTTAATCCCGGAGGTGAATGGGAACAAAAGGGGGGTGGGGGGGGGGGGGGGGGGGGGGGGGCAGCACATTGACAAACATGCAAACACAGCCCCAATAATGA